GATCTCCATCAAGCAGAGTCTGCAACTTGCATACGAGCCAAAGCCTATCACAGAATTGAAATGTTCAAGCTTCACACAGTGTTTCAGATAAATATCTTTTTTAATTTGTTCATACTCATAAAGCGTTAGAGCGCATAGTAAGGGACTGAAAATGCAAGACTTTTGCTAGAGCTGCATTCAGATTCTTTTCCTCCTATATTAGCCCTTAAAATTGTAAACTGAAACAGTAGTGTCATGCAAGGGTGATTAAGAGCATGTCTCATACATATGAGTATATAAATTAGGCAAGTTGGAAAAAAGGTACTGCAGTGTTCAAGCAGACAGTTGTAACTACAGCGAATAGGAATTTTGTCATTCAAAAGAAATTAGGGCAGACAGCAGTCCAGTACTTTAAAAATCCTCAAATAATGATGCTCTGGTGGCTGTTAAGGATGATGGTAAATGTCTTTACCTGCTGGAAAAAGCATCATGGCCTTTAGGAGTGAGTATTTATGAGGACATGGAATTTTACAGGTTGCTGGTAGTAGAGATAAAGGACTGGGGAGAGGAGGCAGTGGGAGTCCATAGTAACTGAACAAACTGTTAAACTGTACTAATTAATTTTAAACTAAGGTCAGGATTGCAGTGGGAACTGGGGGTAGGTAGACCCACAATTTGAAATGCAACTGCATCTACCTCTCATGTAAAATTAAACTCTTCTTATTTTAATAGTTCAAAATAAACATAATCACATAGAAAACATAAGTAAGAATTGTGTTTTGTTAGAAGTGTATTACAAACATACAGAAGGATTTGTATTTCTTGAAGAAACAGCCTGTTCTACTGTGTGTTTTCAGGGAGCATTGAATCTGCATTTGAGTTTTGCATTAGCTCAGCAACAGACTTTTTCTTGCAATTCCATAGCTTTTTATTTAGGATTGGTGTATTTTTAGTAAAACTTGAGCGTGTTCAAGTAACAGGAGAGCCCTTACTTAACACCCTGTAAATATTGCTGGTTGAATCTTCCTTCTCTGTTACACAACCTTACTGAAGTTGCAAAACAAGTCCATACAGCTTAAGCCTGTACTCCACTAAATTCTTTGTGTTTGACTTGTCATCACATCAGGTAGAGTGAGGTTCTGGCTGTAGGCAGAATTCTGGGCAAGGAGCTGGATGTAAACTTGGTCTTTCCAGGAGATGGGTTTGAATTTGCTTTGACTCATAGAAAAATCTTTGAGGGAGAAGTTACAATGAAGGAAGCTAGAGGTTTTCCAGCACTACCTTCTCTGTCCCAGCTCCCTGTATGACCTTCAGTTCTACAGTTGGACTAACTAACTCGCAGTTAATCAATAAAAAAAGTTCAGGGCCTTGCTTAGTAATACACTTACTTGGCTTTTTACAAGTCTCAAATAATAGTTTTTCATGACCCCACCCCTCCTTTTTTTTTTTTTTTTTTTTTTCCCCTATTTGTTTGTTTGGTTTTTCTTCTTGGCCAACGTGAATGACTTTGAGGGTCGATGGTATAAATCTGCCTTTGACCTATTCCAGCAAGGAAATGACGATCTGCTGCAGAAGCCAAGGTTTTGTTCCCTCTTTGCCGCTAGTGTGAGTTCCCAGGGTCGGATTGTGCATGGCTCAAACTCAAGTTATTGTTCCTCTCTCTTGTTCTCCATATGGGTGTAAGGTATAGATGGCAATATTTTCGAGTGGCTCAGACATTAAAGGCTCTATGATGACCACAAAAATACACAATTAAAAAATGAGCTGTTTGAAATGTCTAGTTAGTGAACTATAGAGAGAGACTGTAACAGTGAAGTCCAGTTTTCTACTCTGGATCAGGCAAGGATTTAATATCTTGATCAGTGGCACAGACAGTGGGATTGAGTGCACCCTCAGCAAGTTTGCAGATGACACCATGATGAGTGGTGCAGTTGATTCATTGGAGGGATGGGAAGCCATCCAGAGGGACCTGGACAGGCTTCAGGGGTGGGCCCATGCAAATGTCATGAGGCTCAACAAGGCCAAGTGCAGGTCCTGCACCTGGGTCGGGGCAATGCCCAGTATCAACACAGGCTAGGGGATGAAAGGATTGAGAGCAGCCCTGTGAATAAGGACTTGGGGGTACTGGTGGATGAAAAATTGTACATGAGCTGGCAATGTGTTCTTGCAGCTCAGAAAGCCAACCATATCCTGGGCTGTGTGAAAAGCAGCACGGCCAACAGATCAAGGGAGGTGATTTTCCCCCTCTACTCCACTCTGGTGAGGCCTCACCTGCAGTGCTGCGTCCAGCTCTGGAGTCCTCAGCACAGAAAAGCCATGGACCTGCTCAAGCTGCTCCAGAGGAGGCCACGAAGATGATCGGGAGCTGGAGCACCTCCCCTATGAGGACAGGCTGAGAGAGTTGGGGTTGTTCAGCCTGCAGAAGGGAAGGCTCCAGGGAGACCTTACAGCGGCCTTTCAGTATATGAAGGGGGCCTACAAGAGAGATGAAGAATGGCCTTTTATCAAGGCTTCTAGTGACAGGACAAGGGGCAGTGGTTTTAAACTGAAAGAGGGTGGGTTTAGATTCGCCATAAGGAAAGTTTTTTTTTTACAGTGGGAGTGGTGAGACAGTGGAAGAGGTTGCCCAGAGAAGCTGTGGCTGGCCCCCCCCCTGCCGGGGTCTACGGCA